AGAAAAGTCAGTAAATTTCACAAGCCAAACGTTATCAAACTATCAAACATTCACAAGCCGAACGTTATCAAACGTATCACAGAAGTGGTAAAGGACTTGTGTCATGTGTGACAACTGAATGACATCCTTTTGTAACGTTTTTGGCCAGGGGTGGGTATTTGTTTTTTAAATGATACTTGAGGTTGGGTAATCAATTATTTGATTTTTTAATGGTTGGGTCAGCAAAATTTTTGCCACGAAAAACATTTCTCTTCGGTGCCACCCCCCACCATAAATAATGACCGGTCCCTTAATCAAAACCAAACCGTGCAATGGATTAAAAAAACACGTATGGTACACTATAATAGCACGGTTTGGATTTCAAAATCCTAATTGTAATCGCAAAAAAATAAATAGTTGAAATACTCTCTCATTTGTTACCCTTTTCTGTTGAGATAAATACATACATGTACTTTTTGCGCTATTATCAAAGGCTCAAAGCATAGCTGCATTCAAAACAGCTGCTTGTAAATCAGTGGTGCCGCCAGCTCGATAATTGGGGGGGGGGGGCGAATATTCATATATTTGTGTTCACAGACCATAAAAACAATCGGATAATAAGAAGTAAATAATGCAGAACACGAAGATATGAATATTCGCCCCCCCCCCCCAATTATCGACCTGGCGGCGCCACTGTTGTAAATCAGTGGCAAGTTTCTTCCTCGCGCTCTATTTTCCCGCGTTATTTTTGCAGCATGTGGCAAGTCTATATATTGTTCTCGCTTTCTCGGCCAATTGTGTTTTTTACTGGGCAACAGACCGCTTTTGCTACTGTAAAGACGACAGACATCCCAAAACGAGCGCACGTCGAGCGCGTATCTTTTCCACATATATCGAAATATAGCCGTTCTATTCGATACAAGCAACTGATGCATTTATTACGATAAAGTATTTGCGTAATATACCAATCAATCGCGTTTCAGGAACGATCATGCAGCCAATCGCTATCCACAAACTTGCCCGAACCAGGGCTTTCCTCCCCCCCCCCCCCCCCCCCC